AACACATTTTAAGATTTCAGTTAATAATGATTTGTTTTGTTGTAATGAATTCCCAATGAATATACATAAACCTGCTTTTCCATTATGGTTTAATTACACAGTCATTAGAAGAAGGAAATTACTAATGAATTCAGCTATGAAAATGGTAGATCATCCATAAAATCATTCACATCATGCCATAATATTTTAAAACATAATTAATGCAGGTTTTGAGGGTTTTGTTTAATAATATACATTTTATCTTAGCTATTGTTTAATTATGAAAATATATAAAATCTATTACTCAGAATCCGTTTGCATGCCATTTCAAATTGAAATTGGTTTTGTGTTAAACATAGAATGGAAAGTATGAAAATTTTCAATATCAAAGGTATTTTCCAGCATAAACCTGTTCTGACACTGAACTTCCACAATTATTTGTAAAAGCTCTTTACTAAAAAATAGTTAATTTTTCAATCTCTATACCTATTATATTCAAGTAATAGACTATAACACTAACATCAAATACATATCATCTATATTGGAGACAATAGTGTCTTAAAATCAGTGTAGATTTTCCAAAGTGAATATTTGGGATGTGGGTATGTGTGTTTATGTTAGATTTATTAACAAAATGCAGTATTTTATGGAAATTTGGTAAAGCAAGTAAGTTAAACTATTAAATTTAAATCACAACTACCATGGATATTTTGTGTGGGACTCTTTATACAGACATGATTATGGCACATTGCTTGTCTTCAAAGAGATGATACTCTAGAAGGGAAGCATAAAACAAATATAACTATACCTATACATAGGTCAAAATCTATCACAGAACGTTTTCATTAAATGGACCTGTCAAAGTGTGTTAAGTATCATTAGTATGGATCCCAAAGATAGAATCCATATAATCTGTTCCTCTAAAGCTAAGAGGTCAGATTGTGACTTGTAGTCAGCTATGAAAAATATCTGCTAAGAGATAGCAGAATAAATAAATGAATAAGATATAGATGAAGAATTTAATAAATTACATTTGGGGATATTCAACATAATTTTCTACGGAAAGGTAAAGTCAGCTTAGAATGATAATGAGAAATGTGTATTCTAAAATTTTTGTTTCATCTGAGAATGAAACAACCTATATTATAAAACCTTAAAATATATGACTTTGTCTTCATTATAATTAGTACTTCCTTAAAATCTTTTTGTACTTGCACTCATTCATTATATCATCATTCTAGTGATGATATAATGTTTACATCATGAGATAAAATGAGGTGAATGGTAATGCAACATAACATTAGGTTACTGTGTAAGGATTTCTTGAACACAGGTACCACAGTGCCACGGTGCTTAGAGGGCTACTAGGTGACTAAGAGGAAAGTACTGTATACAGTAAGGAGAAACTGGGCAAAGCGATGATTCACTCCATGGGCAGGATAGAGCTGGATGGTTGAAGACTTTCCCACACTACTCAAAGTTGTAAGAAACTTAATGTATATGAGTTATTTGTTTCTGCAATTTTCCCCATTTAGTGTTTTCAGACTATGTTTGCTGTAAGCAACTGAAACCATGACAAGCTGTTCTGCTGATAAGGGAGACTGCAGGACCTTGTACTGAGATTATTGTGTCCCATTTCATTTGTCACAGTATCATTGTTTTCATGAAAACTTAATAATAAGAAAAATTTTGCTTATTTACTCCAAAAGTTTCCATATATCAGATCCAAAGTTAACTTTTGATAACTTAATGATCCACAAATGTGGGAATCTCCACTCCAATAGATAATCTCAAACATATTCCACAACCAACACAAAAGCAATTAGAAAATTGAATCTAATTGAACTTGCATATTAATTGCATTGAAAATCACTTTCGCCAATTTTAGGTTATACTCTAGGAGACATAAAGTGATATAATTCCTTTCTTTGAAGTTAAATATATCCAAATAGTAATTATGATAAAACAAATGTGAGTGAAATTTCCATGTATATTTTTAGGCCCATTAAAAAAAAAAAAACAAAACAACCTGTCAATGCTCTACTCCCCAATTCTCTGTGTCTGAACTCTGATGAAGCGTGCAGTTCAGCATTGAATTGATGCATTACAAGATGGGATTTAAGATATGTGGAGAAAAACTACCCTCACTAGTCCACATGGAACCTACAGAGTGAATGTTCATTACAGTTTCTTGTTTTAATACAATGAGATAGTTCTTAGAATTAGATCTATGAAGCACACTGAATCTGTTAAAATACTAGTTAAAAATTAAAAAAAAAAAAAACACAACTAAACACTCCATCTACTGGTTCAATTCTCAAATGCCTGAATCAGGGCTGAGCCAGGCCAAAACCAGGAGCCCAAAACTGCATCCAGTCTTATACATGGGTGGCTGAGACCCAGGTACTTGAGCCAGCACCTTTTACCTCTCAGGGGACACAAAGCAGGAAGGTGGATCTGAAGTATGGATGAAACTAGATCCAACACACTCCAGAATGGGATGTGGGCATCCCTAGCAGCAGGTTAACCCACTGCTCCAATAAACACATTTTAGACACTGCTCAGAAGTGTGAAGCTCTATAATAAGCTGATTTGAGAAGGTGACAGACAGGGTACTGATGCCATGGATTGGAGGGTCATCACAAAGGAAGTGGCATCTGAGCTGAGACCCAAATGAAAAGAAGGAGCCAGCTGTACCAAGAAAATGCTCCTGGTCAAATAAACAACATTGTTAGTGGCCCTAGGGAGCTACTCAGTGTGGCAGTTTCTAAGAACAGAGGGACAGATGGTGTGAGTGGAAGGGGGTGAGCAAAGAGACAGCAAGGCAGAGACAGAGGTGAGAAGCAGGCAAGTGTAGATCCTGTATGAACATTTCCTCCTAGTCTCAGTGTACCCAGAAGCCAGGAGCCTTCAGGTTGTAGAGTGGGCAAGACATGGTTTGTGGTTTTTGAAAGATCTCTCTGGCTATTGGACAGAGAAAAGATCACCGGATACAGCGAGGGAGATCAATGAGGAAGTTATCTCAGGTTCAGGGGAGACCAGCAAGCTTTGGTTTGTGTGTTGAAGATGGGAGACTAGCTGATAGGTTTGGAGTCTATTTTGCACATTGAGCCTGAAGGACTTACGGGTAGATTAAATGTATATGGAGAAAACACCTCAAATTTATATTTAACTCTGCCACACTTAAACTATTTGTAATATGTTTATACATATATTCCCAACTAGATTATAATCACTTTGCAACCAGGAATTAGTTATATCTTACCTTTAAGAAAAAAGATTAAAAAAAAAAAAAAAACTAAACACAACCAAGAAGATACTGAGATAGAGGTGCTATGGGTGCTATTTTATAGCCTAGTCTATTCTGACAGGTGAATTCCAGGTAAATCTGTCATTCCAAGGGATCACTTTTGTGTTTATTTATTTCAATGAATTGTACTCCTTGGAAATCATTGTTACAGACAGGGAGAGAATTTTTCTTAAAAAGTAATGTATCTGTATAGGGAAAAGGGAAGTAAAATCATATAAAATTCAATTTATGCTTTTAAACCTTAACCAACTGTTGTATTATATGACTGAATGTTTCCTATTTTAAGACAATATATGAATCATTCAGAAAGTGTCAAGAAACAGTCAAAATGCTTGGATTGACAAGTCACTCATATTAGGAGAATAATATTTAAGTAACGTGCCACATAGTGATGCTTTGATCAATGAAAGACCACACGTACAATAGTGGTACTATAAAATAAAGGAGCTGAAAATTTTCTTTTGGTTAGAGATATCATACCTGTCGTGTCTGATAATCAGGCGTTACTGAGATGTTTGTGGTAATGATGGTGTAAACAAACTAGTGGCTCAGTCAGTGTTATCAAAGTATAGCACATGTGATTTTGTGTGGTACATAATGATAATGAATATAAACATGTTAGTAGCTTGTAGACAACACTGGCATGCTATTATTTTGTTAATAACTTGATAATGTCACCAACCATATTTATAAAAATGTTAACTGTAAAATAGCTTCAGGCAGTTCCTTCGAGAAGTTTTTCCAGAAGTCATTGTTACCATGAGAGATGACAACTCTAAACAAGTTACATCCCACAAAGATCTTCCAGTGCAAGTATATGAGGAAGTAGAAGGCAGTGATATTAGCAAACCTGACCCTATGGATGCCAAGAATAATGTAGGTGATTTCATCTTAGTTTTTAACAAAAATATTTTAAAAGTTCAAAAAACATTTTAAAGCAGAAAAAAGTTTATACAATAAAATAGGAATAAAAAATAGATCTATACAGTTGTACTATATGTTTTGAACTGTTATTACAGAGTCAAAAAAGTAAAAAAAAAACTATAATGTAAAAAAGTTACAGTAAACTTTCATTTATTCTAGGAATAAATTCTATAAATTTAGTATGGAGTGAGCATACCTTTTATAGTCTATGGTAGTCTATATTAATGTTCTAGGCCTTCACTTTCACTCACCAGTCATTCAGTGACTCATGCAAAGCAATTTCTAATCCTGTAAGCTTCAAATCTTTAAAGGTGTATAATTTTTAAATTTTTATATTGTACTTATATTCTTATTGTATATTTCACATGTTTGTATATTAAACACAGAAATATTTATCACTGTGTTACAATTACACTGTAGTATACAGTGCAGAAACTTGGTGTCCAGGTATATGGCCTGGGAACACCAATCTATACCAGGTAGCTCAAGTTTGCAGTAGGCTCTACAACTTTGGTTTATGTAAGTACACTATATAATTGTATTAATTAGCTTTTTATCACTATAATGAAGTGCCTGAAACAAGCCACTTACGGATACAAGTTTATTTTGACTCGATTTTGGATGATCTCAGTCCAAGATCAGATAGGGGCCCTTGGTTCATACTCAGGTGAGAGTTTACCTCCTGGCATAATCCCCAGGCAGCCTAGAACACCCCATGAAAAAAGGGAACAAATACAGAGAAATGATGTCATAGTGAGGTATACCAATTAGAGACAGCAGCTGGGGACCCAAGTCAGCTTTTTAAACAAACTTTCTTATCAGAACTACCTTTTGAAAGCATGCCACCAGTGACTTAAGGACATCTCACTAAGCCACATCCTAAACACCATAATTGTGGTAAGTTCCCTCTCTTTTAGTATCATTGGCTTATGACTCGGAATTTTAAAGTTCAGCACCAATTCATGAGCCAAATCTTGTTCAAGGCATAACATTCTGTACTAGATTCCCCAAAACCCATGTCCTTGTCACATAATTTATACAATCATTCTATCCCAATAGTTTAGAATCTTAATTCAGTATTAATTCTAATCCAAAGTCCAAAATCTCATGTGATACTCAAACCAAACTCTTCCGGCTGTAAAACTGTAAAAATCTAAGTGTCATTCAATGATGGGCTAGGCACAGGGCATACATGTCTATTACAAAGGAGGGTAACAAGCAGAAAGAATTAAATGGAAGAAAGCAAGATAAAACCTAGTACAGTAAAAATGTAATCCTAAATCTTCATCACCAACACCTGGTGAACACTATGTCAAGGTCTAGGCTCCCAAGAGATTAGGGAATCCCCAACTCCTAAGGCTTTTCTGGTCTCAGCCCAAGTTCTATTTCTCACATGTTGGAGTTTTCTTTCTGAATTGCACTATTAGGGACTGTCTGTTCTGATCCTACATTTCTGCTTGAAATGGCCTTAGTGGGGAAAACTTGCAGTGGCAAGTCTCTCCCTAGGTCCCTGGTTTGTCCAAGACTTCCTTTGAAATCTAGGAGGAGACCTCCATTGCTCATGGTCTTGCTCACACATAGCTGCACTCTGGGGCTGCATGCAGGTGTCTGTGGCTTTCCTGGTGGTAGTGGCAGATTGCTGGCCACTTTACCTTCCTGGGATCCCTGTACTGACTTCACTCTGACATCATCACTGTGTATCACTCCATCAGGCTTTCCATGCATGGCAACACAATTCTTTCTGACATCCTAGAGTTTCATTTGAGATTACAGGGAGGCTGCTGTGAACACACAGCTCTTTTAATCCCGATGTCTGCAAACCCAGCATCATGTGCATAAAACCACATTTCTGCCATCTGCATTACCTGTGGTTGGGCCTGCTTGAACTGGGGATGGTGCAGCCTTTGAGCACTTAGCAGACAAGACATAATCTGGGCCGGCGCCGCGGCTCAACAGGCTAATCCTCCGCCTTGCGGCGCCAGCACACGGGGTTCTAGTCCCAGTTGGGGCACCAGATTCTCTCCCTCTTCCAGGCCAGCTCTGTGCTGTGGCCCGGGAATGCAGTGGAGGATGGCCCAAGTGCTTGGGCCCTGCACCCCATGGGAGACCAGGAGAAGCACCTGGCTCCTGCCTTGGGATCAGCGTGGTGCACCGGCCGCAGCGTGCCGGCTGTGGCAGCCATTTGTGGGGTGAAGGAATGGAAAAAGGAAGACCTTTCTCTCTGTCTCTCTCTCTCACTGTCCACTCTGCCTGTCAAAAAAAAAAAAAAAAATCTGGAGTTGATGCTGGTGAACTGTGCCCATGAACCTCTAGGGTAAAACCACATCCATACACGGTCACTATTGAGTAATTATATACTGATACACGTACTCTGGTCAGTGGTTTTTAAGGATGATAAGGAATATAGATCAAATATGTTTGGTAAATTGGTAATAAGAATATTTGTGTAAGAGGTGTGTAGACAAACTTTTCTAAATGAGCAAAATCTATGAAGATATTTGTGTCTTGTGACTGGTCAACAAACATAATATCAGCTCAAATTGGCCACAGCACTGCTTGGGGTGTTTCTGGGAGTAAGTTCTGATTGAGAATTATTTTATCCAGCGTTCTTTAAGAATAGCTGATTAGCACATTTTCCTCCACAGAGTAGACCTAGCCAAGTGAATTGAAAGCTTAAAAAAAAAAAAGACTTGTTACCCTGTGCAACAGAGAACTCTTCTGTAGGAAATGTTTTCATATTTTATCTGCCACATCCTTTTCTGGTCCCCTTGACATTCTCTTTATACTCAAACTGGAACACTGGCTCTCCTGGGAATCCAACCTGTAGGACTTCAGAATAAAACAGCAGCATTAGCTCTCCCGGACCTCCATTCTGATGACCAGCTTCACATATTTTGGGCTTGCCAACCTTCATAACTGTGTCAAACAATCCCTTATAAAAAACAAATAGGTAGGTAGGTAAATAGATTGTTCTGTTGCTCTAGGGAATCCTGATTAATATATATTTTGGTTGGAAATAATTGAAAAATTTTTGGATGGTGTGTTTAAAGTAGGATCTTTATAAGTGGCATATAATTTTGAATTTTTTTTTATTTGACAGGTAGAGTTACAGACAGTGAGAGAGAGATGCAGAGAGAAAGGTCTTCCTTCCATTGGTTCACTCCCCAAATGGCTGCCACGGCCGGCGCTGCACCGATCTGAAGCCAGGAGCATGGTGCTTCTTCCTGGTTTCCCATGCTGGTGCAGAGGCCCAACCACTTGGGCCATCCTCCACTGCCCTCCTGGGCCACAGCAGAGAGCTGGACTGGAAGAGGGGCAGCCGAGACTAGAACCCAGTGACCATATGGGATGCAGATGCTGCAGGTGGAGGATTAACCAAGTGAGCCAAGGCACCGGCCCCGATAATTTTGAATTCTTATTGTTACTTAAGTACTGTATGTTCACTCTTGCCTAACCTGGCGAATTTTGAATGCTTCCCTATTCCCTGTTCCTGAAGGCATAGAAGTACACTCATCTGTTTTCAAGTCTGTTTGTAGAGATTGATGGGTAAAGAAAGCTAATCTGAAAATTCAAAGCTAAAAATTTCCTGACTCATAATCACCCTACATCAGACTCCACACTGAACACAGTTGTATTTTTCTACCATATTTAAAGCTCATGTTCATATAAGCAATAGAAAATTGGCAAAGCTGGAAAGAAGAAATATTTCCTGTTCTATCAATTACTATGATCATTAGATATCTAGGTTTCTTTAGATTATTATTTAGCACAGTAAAAAATCATAAATAATATATAACTTAGAGTCAAATTGAGTGGAGTTCTAATGTACATTGAGACATTTGCTTAAAAACTGTGCTTTATACAATGATAGATATGAGATTTAAAGTAGAACCCATCCTACTGGTACCTGGTAAATATGAAATAATCTGAAGTATACATAATCACTATTTGATCATGTGCCACAAAGCAAATTTTACAGTAATAGTATCCATTATTATAATTTTTATCAGTGGTAGTATCACTGTATATTCAATTGTTTATTTTCCTACTTAGCATGATAATAAGATATTTTTAAAAGATTTATTTATTTTATAAGAAAGTGTTATAAGGAGAGACAGAAATTTAGAAAGAGATCTTCTTTTTGTTGGTTCACTCTCCAAATGGCCACAAAAGCTGGAGATGGGCCATATTGAAGCTAGGATCCAGGAGCTTCTCCTGGGTCTCTCATGATTTCAGGTGCCCAAGCACTTGGGCTTTTTGCCGTTGCTTTCCCTAGCACATTAGCAGGAAGCTGGGTCAAAAGTGGATCAGTGGGGAATCAAACCTGAGTCCAAAGGGATAAAATTGTTACAGGTGGCAGCTTAACCTGCTATATTGTAGCACCAGCCCTGATAATAAAATATTTACTAATAGCTCTAAAAATAAAGTTACAGGATATACACTCCCCAAAAGCTTGCAACATCCAGAACTGCAGCAGACAGAAGTCAGGAGCCAGGAACTCAGTCTGGTTTTACCATATGAGTGACAGGAATCTAAACAATCAAGCTGTAACCTGTGGCCGCCCAGAATGTACATTATCTGAAAAGGTGGAATTGGAAGTGGAGCCAGGCCTAGAATCCAGCACTTTAACATGGGATATGTAAGTCTTAACCCCTGCACTAAATGCCCACAATCACAGCTCTTTCTGTTGAGAGAGAGGGAGGTAGAGAGGGAAAGAGAAAGAAGGAAAGAGAGAGAGTGCGAGCGAGAGCAAGAGAGAGGAAGAGCACATATGTGTGAGAATTCACAAAAATAGGATATATAAGTGCACTCAAAAAGTTCATGGAGAGTACATGTTATGAAAAAAAAATTAGGAATTTTTAAAATTGCAATGAAATATCTTGTAATTCCTTTATTCCATAACCTTTTGAAGTGTTCTTATATATGATAATCCTAAACTTTTGTTTTTCCAGATTTTCATGTCAATACCTTTAGATAGGTATGAAGAATTTTTACTGCAGAAGTACAGGGGATTCCTTTAAAGGAAGTTCTTTATGATATCACTGATTTTATTTTATTTTTTGGTCTTCTGCATTGAACATTCTCATTTATATTAACTTTTACCCTTATTGAGTGATCATAATAGGATATATCTCTGTGGGAGGATTAGATCAGATATATACATGTTTGCAATTACATATATATTGCCAAGTTTTATTTCTGAAAGTCTGTCCATTGTATTCTCCACCAAGCAAGTATGTGCATTTCCTTATCTTCACAAAATTGCTGGCATTTGCCAGTAGTGATCTTTTGAATCACTGCTACTCATCCTAGGAAATAGGGCTACCAGTATGAAAAATAATCATCTGTCTGCTGTGAACTAAAATTCTAATTAACAGATTTTCAAAAAGAATATAGGGTTCAATGATGTATAAGAATTCTAACAAGTTCTCTAGGAGAGGGAAACACATGCAGAGGAGGATGACATCCAAGAAACAATTGCTAATATCTATTATTATTATTAATCATTATATTTGTGCTGAGGATCCACCTTCTGAGAATTATCCTAGTCACTATAAATGCTTGTAAAAAGCAGTGTGTTCTTGATCACAGTCTCTCCCTTCTCCCCCCTATATTTCTTGTTTTATCCTACTCCAAAGGAAATCTCTCGTGGCAAAAAGTCAGTTTGTTTCAAAACAAATTGCATGGCTTCAGGCAAGTGAAAGTTGAGTGGCTTACTATTTGCAGAAATGACCTGACACCAAACATTGGGCAAGGACTGGTATTTAGAATGAGAATGAATTATCTATTATAATCATTGTGATTACACTAAAAGTTCAGCAGGGAAATTTCAAATATCTGTATTTGTCTATCTGCTCATGGCTTATTCCTTTGATCACCATGACAAGTATTTGCAG